ATCACCTTATTAATTTTGAAATTAAAATTTTTTATTTTATTAGAATTTAGCTACTAAAATTGAAAAAAAAATAATTTTAGATGGATATGATTTTCCAAACAAGTATCTTGATTGTATTCTTAATAATAATTGGTGGTATCAAGTTATGAGAATAGAAGAGTTTTTAATTTCATATTGTTCAGCATTAAATAAAATTCAAAAATATAATACATGATTATATGAGATGTTTTATGGATTTGGAAGTATAGTAAAGGTTTTAAAAAGTTTTAATGATCGAAAAAACTTGAAAATCAATGGAAACAATGGGAATAACTACTTCTTCTATTAGCATTTTTACTTCATCCATTATATCGTGATTCAAAATTTAATTCAAATGCATCAAATTTATCTTTTGCTCATTTGGGTAAATGGATACTTTACTACTATTGTATTTAGTTTCAAGAAGATCATACTATTTTATTATCTGAATTAGAAGATTATCATGCAAAAAAATATTCATATACTGATACAATTGCAAAGCAATTTAAAGATAATGTGTTAGGATATTAGAATTATACACAAGGATATTCAAAAGAATTATATAAAGTTGGACAGCGTATTTTTTCAATTACAGTTTCAACTGCTTCTTTAGAATGATTATTTTCTACTATAGGTTAGTATTATTCTAAAAAAAGAAATAGATTAAAGGTAATAATTTATAATTTATAAGTTTATTTTTTATTTTTTGTTTTTATTTATTTTTTTTTTAATTTAATAAATTAATTAATTAATTATATTTTAATAGACAGAAAAAGTTTTAGGAATGACTCAAATTAGAGCTCAAATGCAACATGATGAGCAGTTTTTACAAATTGATAAAGAAGTACAACAATATAAAAAAGTGATTTCTAGTCTTTCTACTATTAGAAATACTGATGATGATATTCAAATATTTGATGAAGATATTATTTTATCACTTAATGTATCAGATAATGAAATAGAAAATGATGAAGAATATGAAACTTTAGGTAATAAAATAACTAATGATTGGCAAAATATGATAGCAAATTGGATTGAACTTATTGAAGATAAAGTTCAAGATTTAGAAATAAAAAAAAACAAATGTAAATGAAAACTTTGATATTACTGTAGCTAATATTTCTCAAATAGTACATCCTGTAAATGATATACAAGCAAAATGGAATTTGTGTGATATATTTGCAAATAATTTAGAATTTTCCAATTATTTAGAAAGTTTTGTAACAGGAAACAATTAATAAATAAAATCATTAGTATCATTAGTATTTTATATATATCATGTGATTTATTTTATATATTTTTATTGGTTGATAAAATATTTGGCAATTGGACTAAGTCCAATTGTCCAATTGTCCAATTAGTCCAATTGACAACACTGATAAAGACTGTTTTAATTCCAAATTTAGCGTCTTGCATATCACGTGATAAAAGATCGTCAACAAAACATTCGCAAATCCAGGACTATAAGTAGGCTACACAACTTTTAATAGATGTAACGTAGTTGCTATAAATATCATCATTTTTTTTTAAAGAAACACCATTCAAACTTAACCCAATTTTTTTTTTTTTTAAATTCGACTTTCCTTAATTTTCAAATAACATCTCCACGATGTCTCTAAATATGGATAAAGCGATTCGAGGAGCGACAAAGCAAAAACGGGCAGCTCCAAAGAAGAAATACCTAAACGGTATATATACTTATTTCTTCTTGAGAACTCTGAGAAAATTTATTTAATAAAACGTTTATATTTAATCAAAAAAATTTTTTTCCAAATGAACAGTGTTGATTCCAGCCACCGCCAGGGATGATACTTTAGAGACAATGTTTATGTCGCTTGATTATCGATTGAAAGAACACTCGTGGACGGTAAAAAGAAATCTTTTTAAGATAGATATTTTGTATCATTGTTATATATGTTAACGTTTATTATAAGATAGGTCGTTTTCAAAAGCCTCATTGTCGTTCACATCTTAATGAGAAATGGTAGAAATGATCGTGTTTTAACCCAGTTGGTAAGGTATCCGGGCTTACTAAACGTTTCAGGTTTTAAAGATAAGTCAGGCTCTCACGGTTTGTATCAATTTCTTTTCTTATTTTTTACGATTGACATGCATGCAATCTTATGATTACAAATTAATTTAATTTAAATAGGTGAAGTGCAAACTAAAAATATACATTCTTATGCCATTTACCTTGAAGAAAAAGTAGCGGTATATCGAGAATTGAAAATTGATTTTATAAAAGCTACAAGCGAAGAAGGTATTGGACGATTGAGAAAACTTACTGTTGCTAAAGGATTATTAAGAGAAGTTAAAATATTACAGCGTCAATTGGCAGCTTTATTGAACTGCAAGGTTTGTCATGTATTGATGTTTTAATTTAATTTTTTTATATTCGATAAAAAATAGAATTAACTTTATATTAATTTAGTTTTATTTGGATGAGGTGGATAACGAAATTACGTTATTAGCTTTCAGGCTTTTGGTTAAAGACTTATTGGTTTTGTTTCAAGCTGTAAACGAAGGTGTCATTAATGTTTTAGAACAATTTTTCGAAATGTCGAAAATCGATGCTAAAGATGCATTACGAATTTATAAGTCATATGTTAAACAGACTGAAAGAGTGGTAGATTATCTAGGAGCAGCGAAAAATATACAAGTTTCCCTTGAAATTGATATTCCTAATCTAAAACATGTAAATATCATGCTTATTAATAATTGACTTTCAAAGTATAATTTGTTAATTCTCATTTTTTATATTTTTTAGGCACCTATTTCATTGACATCCTCCCTAGAAGATTATGTCAACGATCCGGATTTTGAATATAACAGAGAGCAATTCAAGAGTGCAAGGGAAAAACGATATAAAACACCAAAAGAGAAGTCGATTCCAACGAAACCCGTAAATAATAAACCTTTTGAAAACAAACCAGGAAATGATTCAAGTAACGAGAAAAAAAAAAATCATTCAACATTATATTAAATTAATTTGTATACTAAAACTTTTTTTTAATATTGAAATTAGAAGTTGTTTCTACCGCTTCTTTGCCTGCTTCAGCTTTGACTACTCCAAGTAATAAGATCAATACAACCAAAGAAATTGACTTTATTGATTTTTTTGCAAGCATTGAACAAGAACACACTGTGATCTTTGGTAATCAATATTATCAAAATACGATCACAAATACTTTATCTACGAATTCATTGCCTTGCAATACCGCTACTAATCCTTTCTTAGCCATGCAAAATCAGATTCCAATGCGACAAGACTTAAGTCAACAAATATCTCAACCTGTATCCACAATACAAGATACAAATCCATTTCGTTCGTCAATATATGTTCAAGACCCAGTTCCTATATCACAAGCCGTTGTACCTTATCAGAATCCATTCTTTCAATCATCAACTATTAATAATGTTTCAAACCCTTTTGATTCAATTGATTCCGGAGCACAATTCCAACCACAATTATCTCAACAAACTATACAACCCTCATTTACATCAACTTCAACAAACATAGATAATAATCCTTTCAGAAGGCGATCTGTAACTCCGAGGCAGCAGACACAGTTCACGGATTTTTTACAATCAATGCATTCTCAAGATTCATCCGCCTCAAGTTTTCAATCAACAGATTCAGTATTCTCTCATAATCAATTTTCGTCATATTGAGAGAAATTTCAATAGCGATAGACATTTAATTTTTATCATTTACTTACTGTATCAAGGAATATTGTGTAACATCAAAAAAAACTTTTTTTTTTAATTTATATTAGTTTGGTTTTATTATTATTAATCAAGAAAATTAAAAAGCCATAAATTTATCATAGTGATTGTTATTGTTGTTTAATGATAGTAATGTCAGATTATTTAACCTTATTTAGTAATATGGTAGAAATACAAACAACCAATCATTTTAGAGCAATTCAAAATGTTCAAATTTGGTTGACCTGAATTACTAAACACAATCCGATATAAAAAAAGAATTCATAAGATGCGATATGCAAGCTTGACGTCTTTGGCTAGAGAATTGATATAAGTATCCTTATTAAAAATCTATTCATAATCCGTTGACCAAAAAAAAAAAAATTTAATTATAAAACTTGTCCCGTTTCTTTTTTACTCCCCTTTGCGCATTTTGAAAAAAAAAAAAAAAAAAAAGCTTAAAGCAAGCAATATTCTTTAAAAATTCCTAAAACTATATAAATATATATATATACTTTTTATCAAAGTTCTAATTGGTAGCCGTTATTGTTTCTACACTTGCGCTAAATTCTAAAGGGGAGTAAAAAGAATTCAGAGGTGTATATTTATTTAAATATAGAATAAAAGAATATATATATATAAAAAAACATTTTCAGTATCTTCTTTTCTTATTGATATTTTCAGATATTTTTGTTGGGACAATTTGACATTAGTTCTTATAAAAATAAAAACAAACATTTGAAGAATCCACTTTCTTTTTCCAATATCATATTTTGTATATTTCCCTATTATCACTTTTTCTAAAATAGTGTAAAATAAATAAAAATAAAGATAAAAGAAAAAAAAAACACCTCCAAAGAATTCCGAACATTATAAATTTTATTTTTTTTTTTATTTTTAAAAAAAGACTGTCGTTTATTAGTTTCTTTGGTACATATTATATTTATACCCTTTGTATATATATTGTTTCGTCAAGAAAAGATCAAGAAAATTTTGTTTTATTTTTTTTTTTTTTTGATTCAAAAATATAAATATTTAAAAGGTAACATATATATTATTTTTTTTTTTTGATTTTTTAATCTTTTGAAAGTTATTATTTTGTTATTTTGACAATTTTTCCCTGGATCAAAATAATCATGCTAGAAACCAGAACAGATAAACTCAGTATCCGCGTTTTTACACTTTTTAACCGATAACTGGAATTCTTAAACTTTTTAACAAGAATTTCATTATTAAATTACCACCAGTTAGTTGGAAGGAATCAAACCCTCAAAGCGATGCCAATCTTATCCGATTCATCAAGAAGTATAGTTACAGACAATGGAACGAGATTACCTTATGATAAGGTAATGTTTAATTCTTCTCCAGCAATAGAGAATCGAAAACGACATACTTGTAGCAGCACTCAAGGAGCTTCACTTCCAATGTATAATACTACTACTTCCCCAACTACATCACCAACATCGCCGACGAGCACTTCTTTATTGCCAAGTATCAATATTTTGACTACGTCATACACACCATCATCAAATGGATCAGACTCGAATGATCAACAAAAAAATAACACGATTCTATTAAAAGAAACTAAAGTTGATGAAAGTACAACTACCGCAGCTCCGTCCGAAAGGAAATTCCTACCACAAGATCTACCAAAAATTGCTACGAATTTTGTTCAAGCGTCAAAGATCAATAATTTAAGAGTTTCTTCCTTTAATGTGCCACCAAAGAGACCTCAACATCAACGTATAGCTTCGGATGATGACGCGTTAGCTACATTACCAAGTCCTGCTACTTCGGTTTGTGACTTTCCTGCTGCTCATTATTTAAAACATACACCACCAATTCGGAAAATAAGTTCATCAAGCTTGAATGCAGATATTAAAAATCAACCGCATCACCGTTCATCTTCCGAAAGTCATTTGCAAAATGGTAATTCGGTTGTAGAAGAATGTAATCAAACAAGTGATGATACAGGCCCAATATTTGGTCATCACACGTTACAACAAAGATTATCGAAACTTGGTTTGTCAAAAGCCGCAGAATTAATCAGCCATTATGTGATCTTAAAGACAATTGGTAAAGGTTCTTTTTCAACAGTGAAATTAGCGATTGATTTGAATACTTGCAAAAAAGTAGCAATTAAAATGATCGAGATAAAAGGAATACAAGGCAGCGAAAGGTTAAAGGCAAGCGTTTCTAGGGAAGTTGAACTTTTAAAGGTAAATTATTTTATTTTTTTTTTTTTTTTGTATGTGTGTACACATTCGTATATATTATAACTTTTCTTTTAATTAATAATGATTTCCCTTTTTTTTTAGTATATTAATCACCCAAATATCGTTGGACTTTTGGATACGATCGACACGCCGACACATCTTTGTCTTGTTCTTGAATATGTTCCAGGAGGTGAATTATTTGATTATGTGAATGATAATTATGAAAATTCAACTGAAGAAGAAAGTAAGCATATATTTCTTCAGTTAGTTAACATCATAGAATATTTACATGAAAATAATATTGTACACCGAGATTTGAAATTAGAGAATATTTTAATAGATTCATCATCACCAGATGAACCAATTATTATTAAATTAACAGATTTTGGTTTGGCAAAATTCATTAATAAATCATCCCCAATTTTAACTACACGATGTGGATCGGAAGAATACGCGGCACCTGAACTTATATCGGGAAATCCATATGATGGGCGTAAGACCGATGTATGGTCGTTGGGAATTATTTTATATGCTTTATTGGTTGGTTATTTGCCTTTTAATTTAGAACCTGGTCAATCAAGAAGACAATTTTTTAGTAAGATTATTAGAGCTGATTTCACCTTTCCAGATAGTCAAAATGAAATTGATAGTAGAAGATCTAGAATTAGTGAAGAAGCCAAAAATCTCGTTCACAGAATTTTGCAAAATAATCCTCAAAGACGTCTCAGTTTAAGTGACATTAAAAATCATCCTTGGTTAAATGACGTTACTATTTGATCTACGTCTTAAAAGACTTTATGGTTACTTTTAGAATTATTTGAGTTTTTTTTTTTTTTTTTTTTTCTTCTTTTTTTTTTTTTCTTTATCTTACTACAAAAGATTATATGGTGAATGAATGGTACATTTGATTTTTATTACTATTATAATTATTATTATTTTTTTTTTTAAAAAAAAAAATAGTTTTATATAAAATTATATATTATAAATAAAAACAATTACCGCTCATTTTCGATATATATAATATATTTATGAAATTGATTAATAAAATATTTTAATTTGCAATAACATTGACAATGAGATGAGTTGAAAATAAACAATAATGATGAATTTGTCAAGAGAGTTGGATTATTTTCTTTAATAAGTTTCATTTGAAGTTTCTATAAGATCTAAATTAATAGAATTATTGATTTTATTTCTTTATAAATACTTTTTTAATATTTTAATATTTATATTAAAATATGATTAAATATATATTAAATATGATTATGAAATATTAAATTTGCTGTGATGGATCTGTTAATATTCTTTTTAACACCGTACCCCAAGTATCTGCGGTATCAGGGATAACAATCTATATAAAAAAAAAAAAGGAATTAATTTTGGTAATTCAATGTAATATAAAGTAACGATATATATAGATACGCACTTGAAAGGGAAATGGATTGATATCAGAAGTTGTGATGGGAGGTATGTGATCCTTTTTATCATTAACGAAACGTATAATGTCCAATAAACACGTAGCTAATTGATCATCCATATCTTTACGAATTCTCTTTGTTTCTAAATGAATTGATTTTATAGAGGGTTAGTATTTGGATTTGATATAAAGGAACAAATAATAACGACAAATATGATGAAATTGAAATAAGTTCAAAACATTTTAAAGCTACGTGTTAAAAATTGATCAATACCATTTTCGGTTCGACATATAACGGTGTTTATAGTGACGGGCCATTGTTCCCAACAAATTTCTTCTTCAGATTTACTAAACCAAGCTTTTTTTGTTCTTTTTTCGTGAAATATTACGGCGATCTTTAAAATGTTTAATTTAATTTTAATAAATGTAATATATATATATGTATGTATATATTTTTATTATTATTTTTTTTTTTTAAAAAAAAAAAATTTAATGATTTTAAATGGGCACTAATTAAAATGTGATAAATTACTTGTCCTTTTTGATTTCCTTGGGTTTCTAAGATACGCATGAATTGATCTACTCTATCGTCCACTACCTTTTCAATTTCTGGATCATCTATAGCGGACTAATTAAATGAAAATCGGATTATAATTCGATTCACATTCACTAATCATCACAAAAAAGGTCCCCTTTGTTGCTAATTAATAGACCTTACATATGTGATATCTAATAAATCCACTTCCTTTGGTTTAATATTCCCAAACACGCGATAAAACAGTATGGTATGCAGGATCCCTTTAAATAAATAAATAAATAAGTAAATATATATATATTCCGTACATTTATATTGTAAAAAAAATTAAAAGCATTAACCCGAAATGATAATATTACCATGTAAAATATCTGATACGACTTTTCGATCTACCGTCTATGTTTTATTAGTATTTTGAATTCACCAATTTAAAAGAATTGATACCTGTAAAAAGTAACATACTTACTAGATCAATTGGATAAATTTCAGGATTCATTGGGTTTTTAAGTTAAATGTGTCCTCAATAGATTCTGTTCAACTTTGAACAAAAAAATTTATTTATCGAATTGTACTTCTATTTCTATTGGTCCGTAATAACTGATTTACCTACGTAACTTGATAAAAAAAAAAAAAAGTGATTTTCGTGTGACTTTCATAAATCTAAAAAGAAAAAATCATTCGAAATCCTTCATCTTCCTCTCTTCCCAAAACTATCAAATAAAGGGCAACATGGTATTTAAAATTATTACTCAAAAAATTTTGATTTAAATCCATCCATTTAATCCAAAGTTGAATTGGTTTAACAAAAATTTAATTAACTATGGGGCAATTAATTAATTTTTATGTAATATAAAAGTCTCATAGAAAATTTGAGGCCCCCCGTCATGGCTCTTTGGGATTTCTTCCCCGTAAACGGGCGAGAAGACATCGCGGTAAAGTAAAGTCCTTTCCAAAAGATGATCCAAGTAAGCCTGTTCAGTTGACCGCTTTTATGGGTTATAAGGCGGGTATGACCCACGTTGTTCGTGATATGGACCGTCCTGGTTCAAGTAAGTGATCAAGATCGAATAAAAAAATTTTTTAAATCATGATTCTTTTAACTAACGAATCATCTCGATTTTTATTTAAATAGAGATGCACAAGAAGGAGGTTGTTGAGGCCGTTACCATCATTGAAACCCCGCCTTTGGTTATCGTAGGCGTAGTCGGTTATGTTAATACGCCAAGAGGATTACGTACATTGACCACAGTATGGGCAGAACATTTAAGTTATGAAGTTAAACGAAGATTTTATAAGAATTGGTACAAGTCAAAAAAGAAAGCATTTACAAAATATGCTAAAAAACATGCTGGTGAAGCGAAAGATATTGCTAAAGAATTAGAAAGGATCAAGAAATATTGTCACGTTGTGAGAGTATTAGCCCACACTCAAATTCTCAAAGTTAAGATTGGACAAAAGAAAGCTCATCTCATGGAAATTCAGGTAAATGGTGGTACTATTCAACAGAAAGTTGATTGGGCTAAAAGTAAATTTGAAAGCACGGTTGACATTTCCTCGGTATTTGAACAAGATGAAATTGTTGATGTGATTGGCGTCACAAAAGGCAAAGGTTTCGAAGGTGTTACTCATCGTTGGGGAACGAAGAAACTTCCTCGTAAAACTCATAAAGGTTTGCGTAAAGTAGCTTGTATTGGTAAGTAATATCTTTACATAAAGAATGATTTTATACGTGGCCGCTATTTTCTAATTCAACTTTCCTTTAGGCGCGTGGCATCCTTCAAGGTAATAACATTTGGTATCGTCTTTCCTTTTCTGTTTCCTTTTATATAAGCCAAAGTTTCTTAGAAGGTTTCTTTCAATGTATTTAGAGTGATGTACTCTGTTCCACGTGCTGGTCAAGATGGATATCATCATCGAACAGAAGTCAACAAAAAGATTTATCGTATTGGTAAATGCAAAGATGAAAGTAATGCATCAACTGAATACGATGTTACTCAAAAAACTATTACACCGTTGGGAGGTTTTCCTCATTATGGTATTGTTAAAGAGGACTTGTAAGTGTAACCTTTAATTCTTGGGATAGGTTATTTGTTAAACAGATATATTTATATATATATATATTTTTTATTTATTTATTTTATTTTATTTTTATTTTTTTTTGTGCAGCATCATGATTAAAGGCGCATGTGTTGGAGTCAAGAAGCGTGTTCTTACTTTGAGAAAATCTTTATTTACTCACACGAAACGTTCCGCTTTGGAAAAAGTTTCGCTAAAGGTATATTTACCTATTATAATCTTTCAGTTTGTTTATTTAAATTCATTAATCATTCCTCCATCTCTTTTCATCTCAGTTTATCGATACGAGTTCCAAATTTGGGCATGGACGTTTCCAAACTGCAGAAGAAAAACATACTTACCTTGGTACACTCAAAAAATATGTTCAAGCCACTTGATTTCTTTATTTTTATTAACTTATATAGTATGTAACAAAATAAAACGACAAATCGAATAAAATTAATGGTTTAACATCCAATGCTTTTTAGTGCAATGAGTTTGTGGGCAAAAATTGGTTTATGATTTACGCAGCTCATTAATTATAACATAAATGAAAATTTTTATTAAATAATCAATTAATGTCTACATAATTTCTTTAATGATTAACTTGCTTATTTTGAGAATCTACTTGAACAGCAATTTCCACTTCAGGCTGTTGGGATACTTTAGAACGTATTTCTTCTGATGAATATTTCCGAGCTTCAGAAGCTGAACCACCATCACCTAATGCTTGATTCTTTTCACTATATACCCAAGTTTCTACAGATTGACGTGGATTGGCAACGATTGTATCCAACTCACGTTCAATAAGTCTAATTAAAAAGTTCGATTAGTGAAATTTTTTTGAAAATCGCAGTAAACTCGTTCAAAACTTACTTGCAGAAACCATTTAAATCTAAGTCATTAGCATCATCTCCGAAAGGATTTTCAATCTCGCCACCAATTCTTTAAAAAAAATAAAATAAAAAACAAAAAGATAAATCAAATAAATTAAATATGAAAGAGATTCCAGAGAAGTTAAACTTACTGCTCAATTCCCATCAAAACAAGTGAAGCTATGAAAACAATAGGGATAGTCGCATAATCAAAACGCAAAACTAACTGAAAAGGTAACGTGATACAATAAATCCAAACAGTTTGACTTAAATGAATTGAATAGGCCAACGGAATGGGAGTTCTTAAAATTCTTTCTAAAGACGTTAAACAATCGACCAAAGAATTTAATGAACCGTGCATTGAGACTTTAGTTGGAACATCGACTTTCCCTTGTCGTGTTTTTTCTTCAAGATATGATGCAAGGTAAAGTGTTATAGTTAAAGGTAAATTATGATTTTCGGGTGCTGGAGTAAGTTTTGATTTCTTAAACATTTTTAGGCCGAAACTCTTTCCATATTTTTTGATATTATCTCTTAAATCTTGTTCTTCAATCGGTTCAAATCCTGGTAAATCACTTTTTATATTTGATATAAGATGTTGTAAATCATGATATTCGAGTGGAGGATCTTCTCGTAGATAATGTCTAGTAGCATGGGCAAATGCCGATAATAAATGTATTGCGGACACTTTTTCCACGATATCTTTCGAACCATCTTTCTCGGAAATATTTATCCAAATACATCTTGTTAAATTTCTTATAGCTACAGTTAAGGTTGTCCAAAGTTTTCTTCCTTCCCAAAATCTGAAAGAAAGGAAAAAAAAAGAACTATAAAAAAAATTTTTTATTTTTTTTACCAAATTTGTAAGTCATTTACCTGTCATAAGCGGTATTTGTTCTATAAGTAAGTAATAGACCTACAACAAAACTAAGTACTGGAATAAAGGATGGCTCTATACCTAATTTAATAGTAGTGTTTAGATGAACCACCGTCACAATAGTTGCTATTATTGCAACTATTATAGCAGAAGGAATTACTTTGATTAAAACTGACCCCTTCCATCTAATAAAATTAGGTCTATGGTATGCATATGGATCATGAACTCCGATTTTATCCTCTTTAGTATTGTTAATGTCCTTTTCAGTATCTTTACTCACTGTAACGTTAGTGTCCTTTTCAGTAGACATTGTGATGTTAGGGTAAGAAGTATATTCAAATAATTTAAATTAACAGGATTTTATCATAAAGATAAAAATAAAATCATGAACCTTAATGAATTGAAACATTAAATTTTTTAATTGTTACATTTGTTTAACAAATTTCTTAATCTTTGCGTATAGATGATTGTGATGGATGTTTTAGGAAATCGGAAAATCACAATCTTGTTGATCATATTCTCTTTAGCCTACCTATTGTAATTAATAGGCGAATTGCGATAGTGGCGAAATTTAGCGCACTGCGTGCCACATCAGGATGCGCCTGAACAATAGAATATTACTTATAAAAAAAAGTTGGAAGCCATTATTTTTATATAGTTTTCTTTTCCTAAAATAGGATTCTAACCTTCTAAATGCCAAATAAAGTAAAAAGCGCGCACAAAACATCAAATGAATATTATTAATGTTAAAAGTATTTATGAATTACTAAATAATACATTTCTATAAATGTAATTTTTTTTTTAATAGATTAAATGAGTCCAATAGCGTTGAATTCTTCAAATCATTTGGACAAGTAAAAAGTACAACTAGTGCTACAAAAAATTGGATCAATAGATTAGAAAAATTTAGAAAGGGAAAGTTTATAGAAGAGAAAATTGAGCAAATAGATTCAATACAAGAACTTGATAAACAAATTGCAACTTATGTTACAGAAATGAAACAAAAAAAAATGGATAATAATATTCTGCAAGTTCTATTCACCATACATTTGCTATTATACATCAATATCTTATCAAATATTCTGTAATATCTAGTATAAATATTCATAATCAAGCAACATTTTCAACACTTTGAAAAGTTCTTAATAGAAAATTAAAGTTTTTTTTGTTTAGAACTTAATGATGCTGTACTGTCTATAGATGAAATTTTAACAATTCTTAATCATAAAATATTGGATGATTTAATATTAAAATGATTATTATATCAGATTTACTTGTAAAATGCAATTTTATTAAATATTAAGGTAAAAAGAATTTTGCATTTCTTTTGAAAAAAGTGAAAATGGTGATTTTACAGTATGTATCTATTGTAATAAAACTAATCAAAGAGATGCATTTGAAAACAAAAAAAAAGTAAAAAAAGTACTTATATTTTACAATGAAGAAATTATTTAATATTATTAATCTAAAACAACGTGAAGGACTATATTATATAGATTTTAGTTATATAATTTTTTGTTGTTCACTCGTTCAATAATTAAATTGAGGATTTGCAATTGCATAAAAGTCTAGATAAAGTTTTAAATTTAACAATATGTTTCTATTTTCTAGTAATAAATATATTCATTATGTCCAAAAAATGCAGATCATAATTTTATTTACAAAAAATAAAAGATGAAGATAATAAATAATGATTTTTATTATTAAGTTTTTAATTTTTTAAAAAAAAACTAACCAATCTGTAATTACACTTTTTCATCTAATGTATAGTTTAAAAGATATCATATTAGTTTAATTATCTTAAATTACTTATAAGAACTTTCAATAAAAAATTTGATATAAAAATTCCATAAAAATATTAAATTTTATAATGTATAATTTTTATGGAATTTCAGTATAATATATACATTTTTTTCTTAGGTAAAAACTTAATATGAAAAAGTGAAAAAAAAAATGTATACAAAAAAATAAGAAAAAAATATATATTTAATGCAGTGATATTCTAGGACATTTTAATATATTAATATATTAAAATGTCCTAGAATATCACTTGTCCAAGATTAATATGTCCTAGGATATTATAATCTAATAATTAATATGTCATAAGACGTTATAATCTAATGATTAATATGTCATAAGACGTTATAATCTAATAATTAATATGTCATAAGACGTTATAATCTAATAATTAATATGTCCTAAGATTGCTATAATATATATTAATATGTCCTAAAGACGGGGTAGGGTGTGAAAAAAATATTGGTATGCCGTGAGCGTACTGAGCTTGGTTGCCGGGTTGGTGTCCCTCGTGAATATTTAATAAATACATTCGTTTTATAAATGATCACAAATTGGAGCACTGAATTGACATAATTTGAGGTTCCGACTTGACGTCATGGTAGCGACCTGGTAGTATCCTGGAGTTATCATGGAACTGGCAGGGAACTAGAGTGGTTCTATTAGTTTACCAGTTTTGGATCACCTATATCACGTCAGGTGGTGCAGTAAATTCGGGATTGATCACACGAGAAACAAATGGCTATACCGCATTCCTGATAGATTGTGCTCCCATCAATAA